GCTGATTCCCTAGGGAAGGCTTTTTGTGCAGCTCAGGTTTTAATGGTCGACTTTATAGGTACTTCCGGTTCTAGTGAAATCTGGTACACCTGGGTTGTGTAGAAACGCTGGTCTGGGCTAGAGTCTTTTCACCAAACTGCACCCCATGCAATTCTGTATTCCTGACCAGGCTCCTCTGAGTGGTCCTATGCTGATTGGGGGGCAGATCAGCTGTCCTTGCTGTGCCCCAGTATTTCCCAGGTGGGCCCATCTCCCCTAATGCCCATGCTCCAAACACTTCCCATGGGACGGGCTGTGCTCCAGTCCCTTGTAATGACTCACCAGCCTCTGAGGGGCTCCTTTTTTTCAGTTGTTGTGGCTCCTCAGTCCTATGTGGGTCCACGGGAACCCTATTAGTGGTATTGCTGGCTTGGGGGCCACCAAGGCCCTCTTCTCCCCTGCCATCTCCAAGCAACTTCATCTGAAAGGCACAGCTGTGACTTTTGCCAGCTCCTGCTCCCTGTGCTCATCGTGGCTTCTCCCACCTTCCTGCACTCTGTAGGTCTCTCCCCTTCTCCCCTGAGCTCTTGTGGCCCCAGCTTGACTGTCATTGCTTTTTTATAGTTGTTAATTGGTTGATTTGTGGGAGAGAGTGATGCTGGGGACCGTCTGTCCCTAGTAATATTTTCAATTGTAGCAAGTTACTGGGGAAGTGTTTTCGGAAAAGAGTTTGTAGTGAGTTTGAGTTCTTTTCCTGATTTTCATGAACTTCCAAGAATCTATAATGTAATTAGTATAGCTTAGATTATTATTCCTACATTACTTTTTTCCACAATGAATTGTTGTTGGATAGCTAAAACAGAGTAAGAAGATAGGAGCTGGTTTTCAGTTTCTGAGTTTCCATCACTTCCTAGTTGGGTGAGCTTAAATGTAGTTATTTACCTTCCTGCACCAAGTTTCTTTAACATATTAGCATTTTTACCTCTCTTGTTCTGTCTACTTCAAAGAACCATAATATGATAATGTCTAAGAGAGCACCTTGAAAATAGTCAAGTATTTTATAACCATGACATTTGTGTGAATGGGCAGAAAGTCTAGTCTCATGTGTACCTCTGGCTTATCATTGTTGAATAAATTTGTCATTTTCCCTTCTATTTATTTCTTAAAACGTAATATTGTTGCAGACACCAGTGGTTATTAATAATATTACCAGCAAAACCATACCTTTCCGATAGACACATTTTACCCTTCTTTTTCTAAGGTAGACATTTTGCTTTCAAACATGAATTATTGTATGTGTAAAGTTGTAGGTTTACACTGAAAGAGTGTTGTCCCTGAAAAAAGACACACCTTGTGTATTAGTCTGTTTCTGTTACTTATAGTAAAATAGCTGGGACTGGGTACTTTGTAAGAAAACAAAATTTATTGCTTACAGTTTCAGAAGCTGGGAAGTCCAAAGTCCAAGGATCACGTCTGGGGAGGGTCTTCTTTGGTGGTGGCTTTACAGCAATGCAGGGATCTCACATGGCAGAAAATGGTGGAGCAGAGAGAGAGACTAACCTCCTCATCCACTCTCCCTTTAAATCTCTAAGAACCACACCCATGACCACCATTAAACCATCACCTTAATCACCTCTTCTAGGCCCCACTTTTCAATTACCATAGTAGGATTTCCCAGTGGGGATTAAGTTCTTGGGGGACATTCAATCCAGGCAGGGCACCTTGTCTGAGGTGAAGCACCTGTCTTGTGCGGAGAGGGATAAACTTCACGAGATTTGGCAGAGTGTAGTGCAACCAGCAGTTTATAATTAGAAAGTCGCTGGAGCTCAGAACTATGGCTGACTTCCATAAGGAATTACATTTTTAGTGCATTTACTTCGAGTACATTTCCTTACTCTCTTCTTTACCCTTCCTTGTTTTTTTCTTTTCAGGATCACGGAAGTGAGGCTGAGATGCCTGTGTCACCAGGGCAAGAAGAAAGGCTCTCTCACCAACAAGCAGTTTGCATCTGCTGAGATGTGGGAGAGAGGCACCGAGTCCAGGAACTTCTACAGCATATTCCCCCAGCACCTTCAAAAAGAAATACAGTAGATTCTCAGATGGAAAGAAATTAATTTTGCTTTGGGGGAAAGCCTAAAACCCTTGGCTAATCAATACTATTTTACCTTAAGAACTTCTGTGCATTGCTGGAGCAGAAGGCAAGCATCATCAGACTGGGAAATCATACTTTAAGGAACACCACACAAAACACAATGTTTTCTGACATCAGATGATGAATGGACACTAAGGGAAAAACAGTCTTTTCACTGGCCAGCGGGAGCTCAACACGGAGTGCGCATTTAGAGAAAATACAAACGGAAGATTCCCAACAGGAGAAAGAAAATACTTTCATGATTTTCACAGACAGATACTCCAGAAGTGATAATGGAGACCCAGGAGAATAGGTAAATGAGTTTAATGTTTTAACTGACAACAATTTGCATGGAGATTTTTAAGGCTTGTTGAGTTTTTCCAAATGAGAAACAGGTAGGCAAAAACAGGTAGGTGTGGCTGTTGTAATAAAGAGTTGACTAGACAGATCCATTTTCTCCTTCATAAAATGAATATATTAGTGCCTCTCACTGGCCATATGATTATTCAGAAAATATAAAATAAACTGTACTCAAGTACTTGAACTTGTATTGAATAGCCTAAAAAAGGAGAGAGAGAGCACCCTGCTTTTCCTTTACAAACTACGATGATGGAAGAAATGCTTGCTCCTTTTCTCAGATGTATTTGTTCGTTTATAAGAACATATGTTTATTTTACACGCTTGAGGATTAATGCAAAAACATAGTATTTATGCATATTTATAATTACTCCTTAAATTTCTATGTGCTCTTCTTTTTTCTTAAGCATTATAACAAAATACTCTTTCATTATTTTTGACTGCTGTATTCAAAGAGTACCTTCAATAATTGAGATTTTAGTGCCAAGGAAGACTTCATTTTGTAACCTAGTGGTATCAGCAGATGAAAAGACTTTTCAAATTTGGCTTTCCAAACTTGAAACATTGAAAAGAAACCTTACTATTTATTTTTCTCTTTATCTTCCAAAAATGTTTATTCATTAGAGGAACTAAATGTTACTTTTTCACTAGAACTCGTTTCTTAAAATATCAAGATGAATTTTGTGACTGATTGTTATTTAAATATTTGAATGCACAAGGGAGTTGAAACTACTTTATGGGTTTGATTTGTAATGAACAATTGGAATATTTGATTACTTTTCTATATTTTTAGTATTATGAGAAGTGATTTGAGATGAATCTTCTATTACTGATGCTAAATTTTTTAAACATGAGAGAGATGTACTTATACATCATCATATGTGTTATCTCTGTGGTATTTCTGTGGAATTTTTTTAACCTTCTAAAGTGCATGCATATTCATCTTCCCCCTAGTTTTGGAAGTAGGTGCTTTTTCAAATGAAAGTCCAACTCATTTTCATTTAACTTACCAGTTGACTGATTTGCTACAAGTAATTTCATTTGTACACTTATTTTAAAGAGATGTGTTTATATAGAATCATTGATGCTGACCTGAACCGTGTTTTTCAACAACCAAGATTGATTTGAAGCATCTGTATTTGCAATCTCTAGGTGATAAATTCTATTTGTAGCTAGAAAAAAAGTATGAATTAGCTTTGAGTGTATCTTTGCAGAAATTTACATTATATAGGCTTTGGTACTTTAGGATTTCCGATTTACTTGGAGCTAAAATGTCAGTGACTGAGGCTGTCTGGTTAGCTCGGTTGGTTAAAACATGGTGTTCATAACATCAAGGTCAAGGGCTCGGATGCCAGTACTGACCAGCCACCTGCCCCACCCCCAACAAATGTCAGTGACTGGATATGACAATACTTAGGAAACATGGAGCAGAGTAGACATGTTGAGAGTCAAAACATCAAGTGTCAAGTTTTTTTTCTTGTAAACACACTTTTTTCATATGTGTAAAATTTGATTGCCTGGTCTTCTTGTTCCTGGGACAAGATCGTTTTTAACGTTAAAAAGTATCCAGCCCCGGGCCGGCCCGTGACTCACTCGGGAGAGTGTGGTGCTGATAACACCAAGGCCATGGGCTTGGGTCCTACATAGGGGTGGCCCGTTGGCTCACTGGCTGAGCGTGGTGCTGACAACACCAAGCCAAGGGTTGAGATCC